AGCAAGAAGTTAAGCGGCTCTGCCTTATCGACAGAGAAAAGTGTAACTTGGGATTCGCTTAGAGTCCTCCCAGTGTCTTTCCCCACACTTTTCTTCTCAGGCGATACATTTGATTCAGCGTCGTTAGAAATAACAATAGGGTGATTCCGGGAGAGATGGACCTACATTATCCGCGTCGGTATTCTTTCGTTCTACGGAAAGCGATGTTTTTTTTCTTCCATATCTGGCGGATCTCTCCGGAAATTACCCTAACCGAAACACACACAGAGCTTGGGAAACCACGAGTTCGACGACGGTGTGAACGGTCTGATCCCTTTCATCGAGAACGCCGCGTTCCCTGTACTGACGTCGAACATGGATCTCAGCAGACAGCCGAATCTAGCCGCGACCAAGTTGCAGAAGAGCACAGTTCTGACGGTGAACGGTGTGAAGATCGGTGTGATCGGTTATCTCACATCGGAGACGAAGATACTCTCGCAATCGGAGAACGTGATCTTCTTGGACGAGGTGGAGAGTATACGCAAGGAGGCGGGGATACTGAAGGAGCAAGGTGTACGAATACTGATAGCGCTCGGACATTCCGGCTTCGAGGTGGACAAGAAGATCGCCAGAGAGGTGGAGGATATCGACATAGTGATAGGTGGACACACCAATACCTTCCTCTACAACGGTGAACAACCTGACGCAGAGGTGCCCGAGGGACTCTATCCGACTGTGGTGAGGCAGAATACGTGGTGCAGGCTTACGCTTACACCAAGTATTTAGGTAATTTCACGGTGTCGTTCGACAACAACGGGGAAGTGACCAGCATCTTTGGCAATCCTATACTCGTGGACAACACCGTCGAACAGGTGAGCTGGGAATTTTTACATCTTTCTTGTATTCCGTGCACCGATTGTTTTGTTTATTAGGTAACAAAGTACAGGGTGTAAAGAAATTAACGGTCATGGTTTCAGGGGGTGAATCTACACCCTTGGATCGGTGGACATTTGTAAAAGAAAGTTTCCGCAAAATTGTTCATAACACTGAAAATGAATGTTAAATTTTTTTTTTAAATCAACGTATTCTGCTCGACGAGAAGAGAAGAAGCCTGAAAGGAGCCATATGCCGCAAGCAAATAGTTTCCGAGATAAACGTTGATAAAGTTTGGCAACGATTTGATTGTGTAGAGCTATACGTATAGGGGCTACTGACCTACTAACACTCTGTCATTTGGTAGGATCTAGCTGTGTAGGACACGCTCGGTATAATGGTGTACGTGCCCCTACGCAAACGCAGTTTAAAGGGACAGCAAGGTCTAAACTCGAAGGCTCTTCGAAACTCTTCAATGTTATAAACAATTTTGCGGAAACTTTTTTTCACAAATGTCTTGCAAATGCCACAAGGGTGTAGATTCGCCCCCTGAAGCCGTGACCGTTAATTTCTTTACACCCTGTACAAGTATCACGGAAAAGGGGACACCTTGAAAAAGTACGCTCTGTCCAATTTAAGAATAACCTCGCTTCGCGCATGGGACGTGCCTAAGGCAGAGCTAGAACGCCCGAGCACCCACTTAACCGCCTACGTTTTTCTCTCTGTCTAACTGCGGGAACTCGGACGAAAATCGGTCCGAGAGCGAGGTTACTCTTAAATTGGACAGAGGATATAGTTCAACGGAGCGGCGTCCGTAACGGTCAAGGAACTGTTCTTCGATTTTTTAGGACGAACGTGTAATATATGTGTTCGTATATTGAGGAGCGGGGATTAGGATTTCAAAGGGTTTTGGTATATCAAGGGCAGAGTCCGAGGGCGAGCCGGAGTTAGTCAGGAAAGAATGAAGTCATTGGTTATCGGAATTTTGGGTATTTACAAAATGAGACTGGAAGACTGATACTTAAATCTACAACGTATCTTCTTTCTCGTTGTTTTTTTAATCTTACATCTTCTACTGGATTTTTTGTTTTTTGGTTCGTTCTCTTCGCTATTTTACGGGGGTGTATATTGTTGATGCGATACGTCTCTTTCGTTATCCCTTAAGGAGGGGTATTTAAGTAACGCCAGTATTTCGTGTGTGAAAAATGAAATAAGGAGATTTTATCTTTCGAGATTTTCAACGTGGAAGTTACTGAAATAATCGTCACCTACTGTGAAACGCGATAAAAGCCCCGTTAAGAGTATTCTGTATATTCAGGTATACATATATTGCTGAAATGCGTTAAAGTGAATGTTTTTACGATTCGGAAATTCTACTATGTGAAAATATCGGATTAATACGAATGTAGAATGTGCTTAATAATTTGGACAAGGATAGAAAATTAGAAGAAGTAATGTCCTTTTTGTACGTTCGTCCTATTCTTCCCATAAGTTAGACAAGGATAGAAAATTTGAAATCCGAAACTAACGCCATCTAGGGTCAGGTGATGCGAACTACGATTTTCTAATAGGATTACAGGATATAAACAGAGGTATTAGACAAGGAAAGCACTAGTGTGCGAGAAGGACAGAGAGAGAACGCTTCCTATTGGCTGGCGGGCACCCAAGCTCGACTAATCACGGTCTAAACCAAGTCGGTCGGTGAAAAATCATTAATATCTCATTAATTGCGACGATTCTGTGAACTTTTAGAATTGAAGAACCAAGTGTGGACCTTCGGCAACTTTCACAGATAGTTTTTAGTGCTCTAGACCCTTTCGATAATTAGTTATTAATAATTTTAGTGCGTGATGTCGGGAACGATACCTCATACCGTTAAGTATCTTTCCGGTTTTTCCATAATTTCATAGCTTTCCAATAAATTCCCATGCAACTAACTATATGCGTTTAAAAGGCTACTCCTTTAGCTACATTCTCTTATAATTTTTATTATTCTATTCCGTTTTACCGTCAAGTATCTTTCCGGTTTTTCCATAATTTCATAGCTTTCCAATAAATTCCCATGCAACTAACTGTATGCGTTTAAAAGGCTACTCCTTTAGCTACATTCTCTTATAATTTTTATTATTCTATTCCGTTTAGTTTAGGAGTTATTGAACATTATGTGAGAGTGTTCTTTATACATTGTATGTGAGTATAGTTAAGTGTCATAAACAATTGCTAATATCTAATAAACCACACGACTTAGAACTATCAAACTAATTGCAGAATATAGATAAAAGTCCATTCTACATTCTGCATACTTAAAAGTGCACAATTAATTGCGTATTTTCATTGAAATAGCGAAAATGTGTTACGCTTGAATGCGAGAGGTGTATACGAGTGTAATACCTTTACGGTTTTTCAATAATTTCATAGCTTTCTACTAAATTCCCATGCAAATAATTAAATGTAGCTGAAAGGCAACTCCTTTAGCTATATTCTAATATAATTTTTATTAACATATCCCTTGTGGTTTGATAGTTATTCAATATTCTTTGGATGAGTACTACAGGCGTCGCATTCAAGCGTAACACGTTTTTTTTATTTCAATAAAAATGCGGGATAAATTGTGCACTTTCAAGGATGAGGAATGTAGAATGGACTTTTATCTATATTCTGCAATTAGTTCGATAGTTCTAAGTCGTGTGGTTTATTAGATATTAGCAATTGTTTATAACAGTTCACTATACTCACGTACGATGTATAGAGAACACTCTCATGTAATATTTAAAACCTCCTGAACTAAACGGAGTATATTAATAAAAATTATGGAAGAATATAGCCAAAGGAATTACCTTTCTGATGCATACAGTAACGTGCATGAGAATTTAGTAGAAAGCTGTGAAATTATTGAAGAACCGTAAAGCTATTGCACTCGCCGTATTCAAGCGTTACACATTTTCGTTATTTCAATCGAAATGCGTATCAAATTATAGACTTTTAAGAATGTGGAATGTAGAATAGACTTTTCTTGATATTCTGCAATTAGTTTGGTATACGTAAGTGGTGTGGTTTATTAGATATTAGCAATTGTTCACAACAGTTGACTATGCACGAGTACGATGTATAGAGAACACTCTCAAATAATATTTAATACCTCTGAAACTAAATAGAATATGTTAATAAAAATTATAGAAGAATGTAGCTAAAGGAATTACCTTTCAAACGCATATAGTTAGTTGCATGGGAATTTAGTAGAAATTCTTTAATTCTAAAAGTTCACAGAATCGTCGCAATTAATGAGGTATTAATGATTTTTCACCGACCGACTTGGTTTAGACCGTGATTAGTCGAGCTTGGGTGCCTGCCAGCCAATAGGAAGCGTTCTCTCTCTGTCCTTCTCGCACACTAGTGCTTTCCTTGTCTGATACCTCTGTCTATATCCTGTGTTCCTAGTAACAAGTTGTTGGTTCGTACAGCCAAACACGAGATGGCGTTAGTCTTGCTTTCTAATTTTCTATTCTTGTCTAACTTATGAGAAGAATAGCACAAAAGTATTTACCCTTTTCGTCTAATTGATCCGCGCATATTCTACATTCTTATTAACTCGACATTTTCACGGAGCAGAATATCGTGGGCACGAGAGGTGCTGTTTTACCCGTAATATGAACAACAGCAGTATTGGTATAAGAGAATTAACTTAACTTTTGATAAGCACAATGTTAAATGTGCCGAGGAGATAAGATTTTATTGCATTTAAAATATTCGTGTTAAATATTCAAAGCACCGAGACGGGTATTTGCCGAAAAATTATCGTTCATTTTTTTCTCACATCCAGATATTTCTCTCTTCTTCTTCCTTCTAGCACACCACCTTATTTTCCGCATGTTCCTTCAGCTTATCTAAACAAAGCTTTTCCTGTTTCTGTTTTACAATAGGCGGCAGATATTTTGAAAGAATTAGAAGAAATGAGAGGGGCCATTGATAATATTAGCCTGACGGAAGTTGGAAATACTCGTGTACTTCTTGAAGGCGGCAGCAAAGTTTGCAGACGAAGGGAATGCAATATAGGCAATTTAATTACAGATGCTATGATCGATTATAATGTTAAGGAATATGCAGGTAGAACTGGTTGGACAGATACTGCAATAGCTTTTCATAATGGTGGTAGCATTAGATCTTCTATCACAAGAGCCAACGATGATAAAGTTACCATGGGAGACATCCTTACTGTACTACCTTTCCATAATACTATAATAAAAGTATCGATGACTGGGGAACTGATTAAGTCCGTTCTAGAATGGAGCGTGTATAACTTAGAAATTAATAATACCGCGAATTTGGATGGTGCATTTTTACAATTCTCTGGACTTCAGGTATATGATTAAATATTTACAAATTATTTTTCATTAACAAAGTAAATTCAAAGATTCAAGGTTAAGTTAAATAAAAGAACGACATATTTTTAGCTTTTTCTTTCCCTTTGTTTTTCAATAGAAAATTTTCTTACAAGTAATATTTCGCTTATTTATAGGTAATATATGATTTAACTCAACCAAAAAATTCAAAGGTGGTATCGGTACAAGTACTATGCGCACTATGTAGTATTCCTATGTACAATGAACTTCAAAAGAATGAAAATTATAGCGTACTTCTACCGGATTTTATGCAGAGCGGTGGTGATGGATATTCTATGTTGAAAGATCTCCAAGCTGTACCTATTGGTATACCTACGTGATTTCTTCTTCGATAAAATTCTTTTCAAGTATACCATTTTTTTACAAATCATAGAGTACAATGTTTTTTTACAGGTGGCACAACGGATGAGGCACTAGTGGAATATTTAAAGAGACATAGTCCAGTACATCCTGGTGTTGAATGGAGAATCACTTTTGTAAATGGACAAAAGGGACGCGGTGTTTCTAACAGCGTTCATCAGTCTTTCAGATTGACAATTTTGTTATCAATAATCAGTTGGTTATTCGTAAGATAAATACTCGTGTGTAGGATATACTTTGAACAATTGACATTCAGTATTTAAAACTTTATAATTTATATGAATTTTTATGCACCTTCCACCTTTTTCACTACCTCAAACGTATACTTCAGCTAAACGATTCGACGCTGAGCAAGAATATCACCGGAATAGCTGTTTATTCGTAATCGCTGAAAACACTTCGATCGATGTTTTAATTATCACTTTTACTGTATCGTTGTTTTATTCTTTGGATTTACATCAATCAGTACACATACTTTCAAGTATATTTGTTCGACGCGTATCAATATATTTCATACATCACATTCACACTTAAAATACACATAGTACATCTTGTATTAATTATGTTACCTAAAGCTCAGGCTCATCGAATCGAGCACCATTCAAATCGTAGAAACGTTTCATAGTTTCTACTACGTCGCACATTTCTTTGCAAGGGAATGGTACCAATTCGTGTAATACTTTGATCATTCTTAACAGATCTTCACCGATATATCTATCCATTATATTTACCTCCGCAAGAATATCGAAATATTTCGGAAAGTTCCTCAAAGTCAGATGAATTTTAATCCAGTGTTCATCTTTTTTAACTATATTCTGCAAATATGATAAATTGTGCAAGTAAATAATATGATAGTATGTGAGAATTTTTTACTTAATTCTTTAATTTTTTATTTTATTTAATTATCAAATAACTCACTTTGTAAGACATGAGATATGGATATAGTGGCCAGTTCTCTCGACACGCTATACAATCACATTCGAAATAAAACTGTTTTAAAAGTTTCATTTGTCTAAGGGCTTTTGTTGCAAGTGCATAATATGGACCATATGAACTAAATATCTTTAAAAGAAGAGAAACTTTTTAAAATAACATTAGACTTTTTAGAATAACATAAGGTACAAGAATGTACCGTTCATGAGTAATTCAAACATACCTGCTCACCTTCCTTAATAGGGTACAGAGCATGTATAATCATATGCCCAGATTTACAAGTTATTACAGTATTTGCATTGCAACTATGACCCATCAAAGATGCAAATGGTGCGATTACACAACCGCGTTGACGAGATTCTATACCATACACTTCAGGAAACTAGTACAGTTAAGTAAAAAAATTAGAAACAATTAAGACTATGTAAATGTGATTATCAGTATTTCTATATCTCTTACATCATTCGCGTTTGTAGGAACCACTTGCTGATATCTTAATATAAGACTACCAACAAATGTGACATTTGAATTTGTTATTAACTCAGACCAATTCTTCTTTAAAGGAGTTCCAAACATATTAGTACATGTTGCTAAATAATACAAAATAAAGCATGAATCTAGAGATCTTCTAAATAAATCATGTACTGAACGTTTTTCAGTATTTGTTGCTAGACCTAATACACTTCTGTATTTTTCACTTGGGAAGGTTCCATTCTTAGAAAAACCTTTTGTACGTGAATCTAAAAGAATAACAATTAACATTACTGCTAATTTTCTCATGAAAATATATGTACATATGAATGTATATACCTACTTACCATTACAATTATCAACTTCTTTTAACTCTTCCCTTAAGTCTGGTATATTTGTGGCTTCTTTGACATTTTTAACGGCAAGCCTTAAACTCAATACATCTAATTTACTAAAGTCCAACTTCAGCATATGCGGTACAACTGCACATTCCATATCATGATACTTTTCCCATTCTGAAGTCTTACATTCTTCTGAACAATACATAGCATAAATACAATGGTCACAAGGTATAAGAGCCCAACAAACCTCTAAACAATTTGAACAATGTGTATGCCTATTTTCAAATGTTAACAATGATGTATATGGCTTTTCTATTACAAGTACTTCACCAGCATCTATATTACGACTGGCTATAACATGTCTACCATACTTTTCATTATACTTTACTCCTATAGCATCAGATGCACTAGGAAATTCAACATTATAAGTCTTTATTTCAGGAAGTGGTACTTGACTTGACTCTGTGATTGACATTTTGCTTGTTTTATTAGGTATTTGTATCTTTGAATATTGAGAAATGATTTTTTCATTTAATTTTTCACGATAATTATCATCTAATGACATTTCTTTAAACAGACATTCTGTTTCCTTTATAGTATTATTTGTATCAGGATGCTGTAATGCCACTAAACATTCAAGTTTTCTTACATAAAGCTTAGCAAGTAAATTGTCTGAATTAGTCATTGGCAATGACCTATCTATATCTTGAATACATTCTTCATATTTACGTAATTTTAATAACACAACAGATCTGTTGGCATAAGCTAAAGCAAGTTCTATGGATGGATTAGGGGCATAACTTATGGATTCGGTATACAATTCCAATATTTTAACATATATAGAACTGTTTGTTCTAAGTGACATTTTAATATAGAGCTGATTAGCTATTTCTCTTTTTTTTTCAGACTTTTTCGCATCTTTCATTTCGTCGGATATTTCAGGAATTATATCATATTCTAACATACAATTAAAGGTAAATATTATACGTTCTTCATCTGTCTGTAAAGCTTTATATTTAGTAATTATATCTTTCAACTTGTCCGCAGCCCTTATTTTTGCATTTAACGCATCTAATACTATTTCCATTTCTTTTTATATCTCACGATATAATACTGCAACAGGTTGCAACACTTACAATGGTGAATAACAAGGGGAATGCATTTATTCTTTACTGAGTTTTCCGAATCTGCCGGCTGTACACAAATGAATGTCACTAATATGCCGTACGACGAATGATACCAAAACACTCACCACTGATCACTGATGCCAGAATCGTGGGCGCTGGGCCCCCCACTATGACCTACCGCCGTCTCCCACTATACCGTCCTTGTGCTCTCAACAAGTGTAAGGGTAGCTCTGCCCGTGTGCGAAGCCTGCTCGGCTTTTTCCGCCAATAATCTACGTCGCCACGTGACGCTCGAATAACCTGAGTGCATTAGTAAGAATTAGGAGATTCCATTTGAATCTCGGTGAGACGCAGTTTCGAGGATACCGTGGCTCTTTCTCTTGTCAGGGGCAAAGAGTGTGCATCGGCCACGAATTCTCTCTCCTTTCATACACTCTGTACACGAAACGCCCAATCATGCCAGGATAATCATAATAATCCTCTCCAACAACGTTTCACGTAATAAAAGACATTCCTCCGTTATAGTTTTATGAAATTACACGGTTAAAAACGTGTTATTACGCTGTGCTTGGCAGGAGAATTTTTAGAATGTGAAACAAAATGCCAGGATTTCCTTAGAAAAATCAGACTGCGACGCGAAAAGTATTTCGAAACGCGATTTATTTCCGTTTTATTTAGTGAGGGGGAAATCGCGAAATTTATTATTGAACTAAACTTTCGTAGAACGCGAATGAAAAATTGAAAGAAAGTATAAAATAAACGCGGTAAATAAATTGAATAGAAAGAACAAACGCGAATTGATATATTTTTCGATTCTATAAGAAAATTTTGTTGGATTATTATTAAGAATAATGCGTCAGCCAGTAAGCAAAAATGAATTGTGTTATATACATGAGAAACACTGCTAGTGAAAGATGCGTAATAGACTGATGTATTCTACGTCTCTTTCTTTAAATGCGCAACAGAATTCCTTTCGTGTCCTTACAGTTTTTTTGTTTCCTTTCACTTTGACTACGAAATTCGGAAAGAAAAGACGTCCTTCCGCGCCATACAAATAAAAACACATTTAAGAAAATTTACAGTGAACGCTATTCATTAAACCCATTTTCCAATAAATTTCAATAAAATACGCGGCGATAATTGGGAGGAAGTATCAAGTTAAGCGCGGAAAAATATTCAATAATAAGCGAACTAGGGATGAAGCTATTATTTCAATACGCGATGCAACGACTCCAGTATTTACTAAAATTCAAAAATTCTCGCATAAATTCCGAAAATAGATTATTAATTACGGTAAACTACTGAGACGGTTTAATTAAGGGTGGGCATGGTCCTGCTTTAGTTTGAAATGATTTATAAACACATAATTAACAGAGGAAAAACCGTGAAACGGCAAAACGTCTACATTCTAATTGTTATAACATGTAAACAGAACTTTAAATTTAGTGTAAACAGAAAAAATATATAATACAATTTATTTCACGGTATTGCAACAAATAAACGTTGAATAAATATTTAATTCGTATAAAAACAATTATTTAACGTAATAATTTTACCTTCACCATGGCTATTTTTAATCTACGACCACAGGTCAACCTGATATCTAATCCTTACGAACTTTAAATTCAGTCTAAACTGAGAAAATATATAATACAATTTATTTCACGGTATTGCAACAAACAAACGTTGAATAGATTCTTAATTCGTATAGAAACATTTATTTAAAATAATAATTTCACCTTCACTATGGCTATTTTAAATTTACGACCAAGGGTCAACCTGATTTTTAATCCTCCGAACTTGATTTCACAACGAGAAAGTAATAAGATCGTTGAAACGTACTTATTTGTCAAAGAAACTTGCAAAAATGTATAAATAATAATATGTAATGTTTTAACAAATTTTTGGAAGTATAAATTAATAATAAAATTGTGAAAATTAATAAATTATACGTTATTATAACATTAATAGAATTATGACTAAACCGAAGTTCGAAGTCGAGTATTTAAAGTCTGATATTACGTGCCTAGCGAGTGCCGGTAATTGTTAAAATTTGTTTAATAATTAGTAATAGAAATTCTAATTGATTCTAATGTATACAAGTGTTACAAGAAGGCTGAGTGTGTACAGGGTGGACATAGACTAGCTAGTAGCCCCCGACCACTCTATTCACATCTCAGAACCTTCAGGTCAAAATACGCCGCGAAGTGTCTAGGGCCCAGTATAAAGGGTAAATGATTTCGCGGGACATCGGCGGGTCCTTATATACCTGCGGTACCCTCTCCCCAAAGTCATTAGCAAAATCGTCGGTTAGGTCAGGCGGGAAATTTTCGCGGGAGATTTTCGCGGGAGATTTCCGATATCGTAACACGGTATAATTTATCAATTTTCACAATTTTATTAAAAATTTATACTTCCGACAATTTGTTATAACATTGCATATAACAATTTATACGTTTTTACAATATTCTTCAATGGAAACATAGGTTTTAGCGTTCTCGTTACTTACTCGTGGTTAAATTAATTTCGTAGGGATTAAAAATCAGGTTGACCTGTGGTCGTAGATTAAAAATAACCATAGTACAGCTAAATTTATCGTGTTAAATAATTCTTCTTACACGAATGAAAAATGTATTCAACGTTTGCTTGTTACAATACCATGAAATAAATTATATTACACATTTTCTCTATTCACACTGAATTTAAAGATTATAACGATTAAAAATCAAGTTGACCTGTGGTCATTTATCAAGAATAATCATAATAAAGCTGAAATTATTGTGTTAAATAATTTTTTTAATACGAATTAGGAATTTATTCAACGTTTGCTTGTTACAATACCATGAAATAAATTATATTATACGTTTTCTATATTTACACTAAATTTATCGTTCTATTCTAACAAGCAAACGTTGAATAAATTCCTAATTCGTATTAAAAAAATTATTTAACACAATAATTTCAGCTTTATTATGATTATTCTTGATAAATGACCACAGGTCAACTTGATTTTTAATCGTTATAATCTTTAAATTCAGTGTGAATAGAGAAAATGTGTAATATAATTCATTTCACGACACTAAAACAAACAAACGTTGAATACATACAAATGTAACGATAGAAATTATTGCAATAATGCGTAATGCAATTGAAAAATTGAAAGAATCAAAAGAAAAAACGCGAATTC